GAGTAGTCCACCACCTCTGGCTCATATAATATTTCTGCCTCTTCTTCCACATAGACCTCAGAGCCTCGAAGAGAAGGGCATGGTATAGATAACTCATTCAGGGCAGAATGCTCCAAAGACCCCCACTTTTTGCTAGTGCCCAGTTATGGGTCTCCGTGTCATGTCCCATCTACTTGAGACGAACCTTCTCTGATGAGGGTTTAGCTATGCACTCTTCTATGAACAGGGAACATGTCATTAGGAGACATTCTATCTCTATGCTCACTTAACAGCATAAATGTATTAGGTTTTTCATGGGGTCCATGATCTATCTATTCTCAGGTTCATGGTCTCATTAGCAGTGTTAATATAGATTCCATATCGTGAAGCAGACCTTGAATCCAATGGAAAAGTAGTTGCTTATTCACATAGAGTTTGTTCTACTGTTGTACCAGAGGGCATATATTGCAAATGGTCACTGTTGGAGATTGCAGGACTCATAACTGGATGATATCAGTTATTATTTTTGTCCCCTGTTAACATGCATGGTGCCTTACAGCAAGTAAATGCTATTCAATAGGGGGTCAAAGCGTCAACCTGAGCACTGACTAGATCGCTCCAAGTGTGATGATATAAGTAAGTGATATTCAGGATAGGGCTTACTTTCAGATTGTGGTAGGAGGCTATGATATTTGGGAGAGTGTCTATGAGATTTCTTTGGCCAGTGGCTTAAAAAGTCAAACCCATTCCTGGAACTTGGGATTCTGTCTCATAGCATATGATGTCCAGTTGGAATATTTTCTCCCCCATTATATGAGAACTCCATTTAAATTTCATCTATACATGTACATATTTTAGGAAGCTTCAACAGCCATAGGTTTCCAGATCACTCTAGAAAAAAATCTTTATTGTTAGATGTTCCTTACCATATTATCTCTTCTGCCCAGCCCTTCCACCCCCATCTCCATTTAATTCTCCTATTCTAAGGTCCCCTTTATCCCTTTATGGTATATTTTATTCGGTAGAAGAACCAATTTCAGAGCCCAATCTCTTACTTGCTACCAAAGATCTGTGACTATTTTGAATGAAACATAAATCCACAGCTTTAAATCTAACATACATACCCAAAGGAAAACATGAAGGGTTTGCCTATCCGTGCCTGGATTACTTGAATCACAGTAGTTGTTTCTAGCTCTCTCTACATGAAAATCTCATCACCTTTATTTCTTAACAGCTGAATATCACTCCATTATATAAGTGTACCATATTTTCATTGTCCATTCATCAGTGGATGGACATCTAAGGTGTTTGCAGTTTCTGGCTGTTATAAATAGAGCACTAATGAACATTGTCTACAGTAAGACAGAGCATTCACTGGGGATATCTCCAAATGTTAGTATAGATCTATTTTCAGCTTTCTGAGGAACCTCCACACTTATTTCCAAAGTGGGTTCATAAATTTGCATTTGTACCAGCAGTACGTGAGTGTCCCCCTTTCCCTGCATCATCACCAACATCTGCTATCATTTATTTGATTAATCTTGGCAATTCTTACTGGGGTAAGATAAAAATCTCATAATTTTAATTTGCGTTTACCAGAAAGCAATGGATTTTTTTAAAAAGTAGTTCTCATCCATTTGTATTTTAATATTTGATAATGCTGTTTAGTTCTACACCTCATTTTTAATTTCAGTTATTTGCTTTCTTTGTGTTGAATATTTTAATTATATACTCTAAATAGTAACTATTATCAGATGTATAATTGCAAAGATTAATTGACAAAGAAATCACACATGCTGCTGGAATAATTGTGTCCTTTTGCTAAGTAACGAACATTTTTTGAAGGTTTAATAGTGTTGAAATTTCTAGAAACTCTCCATGTTTTCTATCCTTTTTACTTGATGTACAATCTGAGGTAGCCCAAGCCACCCTCAACATCCCATGCAGTCATAAATAACCTTGAACGTGTGATCTTCCTGCCTCTACCTACCAACTGGTGTGATTATGAGTGTCCAATATCAGTAAGATGTCAAACAAATTGCCTGCCACATTTGTTTTGGAAAAGAAAAAAAATCTCATATGTTAAGAAAATTAACATTTTAGTACTTTGAAGGTTTTTTTTTTCCCAGTAGAGCTTTTCAAGTATACTTTTGTCCAACGAGAGGAAAAAACAAGTTCAATGCTCTATGCAAGAACAAATGTTTTCATATATTCTGAAAATCCACACTAATTTTTGATTGTGAGCATATAAAGTCACTTATCCTGTGTCATGGAAAATTTTGATAAACATGAGACAATGATTTTACTATAGGAAAAAAGCGACAGTTTTTTTTAGGATAAATTATATTTTATATATTACCACAACATATTTTTACATTTAGAGTGAGATTTATTCTGGTACAGATGAGGAATCTAAGTTTGAAAAAGGCTTAGGGTCTTGCCTGAGATCCAAAGCTAGCAAAAGGCAGAGCCAGGAATAACAGCCATTTTGTCCAATTTCAGTATCTCTGGGCCCATTTCTTCAAGTAGTGGGTACGGACTTTTAACTACAAGTATGTGTATGCAAGTAACATTATATACTGCCGTCTACAGAAAGTAGATATATATTCCATGACCGCATCTCACTGGACTGAAAAGAAACTGTGTGTTTGTAGCACTGTAGAATCCTGTACCAACAGAGAACATTTGTCCTGGAGACATTCAGAAATTTAAGTAGCAGTATTCTTAGAGGAAAGATGTTTGTCAGCAAGATGAGTGATAAATTTAGTAGTTATTGATGGAGTTAAGCAAAAAGAACGCAATTTCTGAGCATATTATCTGATACCATGACCCAGGGGCTCCTCTTAAACCGTGACTGACATGCTTGACCTCGGTTCCTTTGGAGTCTAATCTTTTACTCTGTAAATCAAATACTACATGACATTGGAAGCTCACCTCCTCTACCTTGACATGGCCTGATTAACGTGGACATATGATCCTCGACATTCTGTCTCTCATATTTTGAAAGGATGGCTTCTCTGTGTAGTTGGGTCTAACAAAGTATCCATGAGTAAAAGAGGCAATCACGTTTTTCCCATTTTTCCCATCAGTTCTCCCAGTGTTTCCTCCAACTTTTAACAAATATTCATAGTTACTGATTTTATAGTATTTTATATGATTTGTAAACTATGGGCTTAAGCATAGCTACATCCTCCTAAACATACTCTTTGGCCTCTAGTTTCTAAGTTTAATAAAACTCCATGAAATCAAACTATTACTTTTAAGTACTTGTCTGTCTCCATTAGTGTAAGTTAATTATTTTCATGTTGTATTTTTGGTATTGAAGTCTCTAAATACGATTAGATATCTGGTGTTTTATGTAACCATGATTAAGTAGTAATGTAGTATTTATTTCAAATCACATGAAGAAGTTGATCAATATAAGTAACAAGTTGCTATAAATATACACATTCTTTGAGTAATCATAAGAACAACATTAAAAAATAGCCTATTTATTTTCTGAATTAATATTCCTTACATAAATTTCACAGTAATTTTTACGGTAAAACTCTAAGGTGGAATATTCATATTAAAATTGACTTTTTAGGCCCAGTGGTTCAAAGATAAGGTATGATCACAGAAAATCTGAATCTGATTATTTGCCAAGCTGGGCTTGGTGCCTGGATCACCAACATTCCGGCTATAATTGCACAATTCTGGGAAAACCCATAAATTATTACACAGTATTAATTTTAGGATGAAGCTAAAGACCCATCATTGCTAGTGACAGCTGATACAAAATAGCGAATCAATGGAAAGAAACAGTAATACAGGTAATTCATGTCACCATGATGGAACTGCAGAATGCCTGGTTTCCTTCCTTTTCCACTTTTCTCTGCAATCCAAAATGGGATCTGAGAGCTATAGTTTGAAACCCTGCCATTAGCTCCATCAGAAATATTAAATGTTAAACCAACGGCTTATTGACCATAAAATGAATATCATTTGCTATTATGCATTAGAAAATACTTTTCTGTGATTAGTAGAAAAATTGCCAACACCACTATTTTATTTCAGTCTTTGGACGGGTTAATGAACCACTGAGAGGAAGAAGCTTACATGCAGGGTGCCAGAAAGGCTCCTGAGTTTATTCAGCTGTCACTTATACCTAGCATGATACATCCTGACAGAGGGTTCAGAGCCAGGAGTCTCTGACCTACTTCTCAGGCATTTGTTGTCGTGCATACATGTTATTCACGTGCTATCTGGGGGCATAAACATATTTCTGCATCTAGTTAAAAGTTTATTTACTGTATCTGGATACTTGACCTCCCCAAAGATGTGACTTATGTGTTAAAAAAAAAAAGGAGGAAGTGTAAAAGTGTTTGCTCTTCCCTGGTGCCACCTCACAGACAGACTCTTCCTAGGGCAGTGGATCCCTTGTAGAGAAAGAAGGATGATTTCATGTCCCTTACTAGGTAACTGAGTCTTATAAAGCACAGTAGGAGCATGTCAATTACACAGAAGTGGAGTAGGGGAATTGACTGCTGTGGTTAAATACTTTTTAATGGATTGTGTGTACAGAAAATAAAATAGGAGTCATCTAGAAATGCAATCTAATTGTTATTTTTCTTCTCTATCAAAAAATAAAATGAGTCATTTTACATCATTCTAAATTTTGTTTTCCCAAGAGCCATTTGCACAGATCTTACGTGGCAAACCTGAGAAATTTAAAAAGTTGTTATTAGTTCTACCACAATAAGTCTTGCTCTCGGCCTGTGGACTTTTTAACTTGCACCATGCTCACAGCTACCAAAAAACAAACCAGCAAACAAACAAGGAAAACTCCAAACCAACAAACTGAGTAGCCGTTTGGCTAGTCGTAGCTCCTTCAGTCCATTGACTTCATTTGTCTTCTCCAAAGTTGAAACAAATTAAAGTACTCTGTGTTGGATGGGAATACTCAACTTCTCTTTGCTTTACTGACATGCTGAACACACTTCTGTGAATAAACGGAACCTTTCTTTTCTTTCAATCTGCAGGACAACATTTTTAAGCTACAGGACTCCCATTTTGAAAACGGTCGTGGAAAGAGTCCTTATGACCCCAAACTACTGACAGCCTCTCTCCTAATAGGTATGTAACTAATGATCAACTACATAGCGAATCTGCTATAACCAAGGGCAAGGTGACCCATTCCTTTCACCTGCCAAGATCTGTCATTTTTATTCCTGCAGATTCAGAAGCAGAGCAACAGTTGCGCTGTTCACAAATATTTTTAAAGGAATTAAAAAAAAATCACTAATTGTTGATTGTGATTGCCTTACTCAAACTGATTTGTGTTTTAGGAAATAGTTTAATTATACCCTGAGAATAGTTGGCTCAAATGTTGTACATCATTCACTGAACTTTAGTTTTTGCGTTTGTAAGTATTATTTCATTTTCATTTGATGAATAAATAGAATGTAGGCTTTGAGATATGGTTTAAAAAGATGGCATTCAGTGTATAGTGAGAAATGTACTTCAAGACGCCACGGTGTCAATGTTTGGACCCCTTCTCTGGCATGATTAAACCAAGTGGTACCATTCATTGGCAGAGACTCCCTGGTGCATCTTGTTTGACTCGCTGGAGTATCTTGTTGTATATGCCAGCCTAAGGAAAATATTCTGTCATTATATTTTCCCCCTTAATGATTTTAGCCTCTTCACTGCTTTAACACTCACAAAATGGCTTAGGAGACTTACTTTTTCCTTACTTTCATCTCTATTCTTTCTCCTTCTTTTCTTGTTTGTCTCTGCTGCAGAGGGTTGGAGAATACATACAAAGCTAAAGATCAGAGTCAGGGATAGAAGTAGGAATGTTAGTCTGTATGGAGTGTGAAGAATTTTTACTCGTTCATTCACCAGTAAACTTGTCTTAATGAAATAGAAGCTAAAAGTATAGAGTTATGGGTGTGTTCTTCCTCACTCCCACCTCCTCTTCTTTCTTTCCTTTTAACATTTTTCATTCTTCTTGCTTTTTTTAGTTACATGTATCAGCAACCCTATACACATTATATTTGTACTCTTTTCTATTAAGTGTTTACATTAAAAATAATGAAAGTTTTCAGGCATCAAAGTTTAGAATGTTTAAAGTAAATTAAGGCTTAGCTCATTTTGCATAAATTTAATGTTTTCCATTTCTTCCCTTGTCAAAGTGCTTTTTATACTCAAGAAAATTAAACTTTAGTTGTAGAGACAACTGTACTAACCACAGAGATATATATCCAATATGGTCCAGTGTTTATTTTATCACCTACCTTTGCTCCATTTAGAATAAAATTTTGCAATATAAATTACCTATTTTATGGCTCTTCAATCTAGACAATTCTAGTCCATTTGATCCCTTTATGAAACATTTTTTAAAAGACTTTTTAAACCTGAAGGACAACTGCCGACTTAGCAAATGTGTAATTTTCCTGTTAATGGGTGATCTGGTGTTTACATGTGCATGCCTTCCTCATGCATGCAGGCTGAAATTTGAAAGTTGTCTCACACAATGAGGGAAATCATGCCTTGTTCTGACTTGCAACCTGTATTTATTTAAATGGCACGCAAAAAAATGAAACATATTACTCAAAAAGCAGTCTGTACAAGTGTGTCTAAAGCTGAGTTAGCTTGTGGTATGTTCCTCTGAAGGGATTTGCTTATTTATTTTATTATTCCACTGAGAAAGGCTGATGACAGTCAGTATTACATAGCTCGTATGGCATGCAGCCACACAAGGCCCATGAAGGAAAAGAAACTCCAAAGTTTGGTCTTATATTAGGGTTTCTTTGAAATAGATGTATAGGTTGATGAAAGGGAGGAAAGAATGACTGAAGTTCAGCGAGAGGATATGTGGTGGAGAAGGAACAAGAGACCTTTCAGAAGCACACGCTTTCTGGGGGAGTCCAGACCTAACACACCCACTCCAGCAAAATGCGTCCATAACTTTCAGAGCAATGAAGTACATATTCATAAAGTCAAATAAATTAGTTCTGAATCAGTCAAAAATAAGTGCAGATAGAAGAACAGCTCCACTCAGATCAGGTAAAAAAATTCCCTTAAAACATCCGCAATGACATTTTTTTTAAATTTTAAATATTTATTTATCTGTTGAGTGTGCTGGGTTGTGTCAGTGCTCCAGCACCACAGTTGTGTGTGGAGGTCAGAGGACACTCTCAGGCGTTGCTTCTTTCCCCACTCTATGTAAGTCCTGGGGATTGGATTCAGGTGGGCAGACTGGTGGCAAGCGACTTTATCCACTAATCCACCGTTGCTCCCATGAAGCACCATTTTACTTCAAGGGCCGTAACTTCCTTTGTTGTGGTTGTTTGCTCTGGCAGTGTATTACAAATTCTCCCCTCACGGTACATAAAATATTCTTTATTGGCTTTGGGGCATTTTCTCTTATACTTCTTGAACATGAATAGTCACTGGCCTTATGGGTCTTTTGAACACAAATATTTGCTACATCAATTAAACTTTTGAATATAGAGTATTAACCACCTCGGAAGTGCCCAGAAGCTGATGTACGGATGAGGAGTTAGCCACATGGTAGTCCTGTCTTCTCATATGACTTGGGGATTCATCCTCATTTCAGCACATAAAAGAGAAAATCTAAGGCCGCTGCGTTCCCCAAACCTAAGGCTTCACTCAAAACATCTGTGACGTGGTCTTGGCAGAAGGTGTTTTTCATACTTGCAATGCCAGGATAAAGCTGTTCCAACCAAAACTAATTGTTAAAAACCAACAGAGAGTTTACACAAACTGTGGAAGTTTTGTAAAATCTCCTTTCAAAATCCCAAAAGTTTACAAGGTTGACTATAGGTTTGTTTCCCTTGCCCAATGCATAGCTACCCAAAGTGCCCAAATCCAGCATGGTAGCACATGCCTCTAATCCCAGCACTCGGGAGGCAGAGGCTGAGAGATCTTTTTGAGTTCGACATCAGTCTGGTCTAGGAAGCGTGTTCCAGGACAGCTAGGACTGTTACATAGAGAAACCCTGTCAAAAAAAAAAAAAGGCTAAAATCCAGTTATATGTTCTAAATTTTTCAAGTCACCTTAATAAAGTTACTTTGCCAATCTTTTAAAATAATAAGAGCACTGCAGAATTTATTTTTAAAATATCTCTTCTTCCACCTGCACATATTTTTCAACTTTGTTTAAAATATCCTTATTAAAGATAGCATTTGCTCCCCTGTTCAGTATAAATACCAGGTGTGAGGAGAACATAAGAATAAAACCTAGAACTTCCCACACCAATTAAGGAGTAACTCACTTTTTCATGATACGAAAGAATGGCCACCCCGAGAGCAATTTTATTTTCTCACTGAAATATTTACCAGGCAATGCAGACTAATAATTTAGATATATTCCAAAAAGAAGGGATATTGCTGAGGCTTATTTCAAATGTCTGGGTCTCCCTCACGTATATATGTTCAGGCTGGAACTTTGCCTTACTCAGGAGGGAATATATTCTGGCATTAAATATGCGTTCAATGAGTCTTAGAATAGGCAGGGTATTCCCTAAAATAGTTAGATATTGATGCAGATATTATTTGAGCCTCTGTCTGGGCCTCAGTTCCCTGATACGTAAGATAGTAGACTATGCTAATTCTGCCAGCTTCTCGCAAGAGTTAAAGGCACAATGTAATCGAGAGCGGCTGTTTGGGTGTACGTCCATTTCTGAGGTGCAGATGAAGGGGAATACACAGAAACGCATATTAATGGTTGTCTATGAGGAAGCTGGGAGGCACAGTTGGAGTCTTATAAATCTTAGGTTTGAAACTGTGTTCCATGTGAACACATTGCTTCAGAAAAGCATCATCATTAAGACAACAGCATACGGCATAAAGTCTGCACGCCTATGTTGCTATATAGACAGCAGCTGTAGGGAAGAACAGGGTCAGACTTTCTCTGCGCCCCTCCACTGCACCATGGGTCTCATTCCTTCAGCGTGGGTTGGGTACAGAAAGGCAGGAGAGAGCAGCTTGGCTTCTTCTGTTTCTCATTAACCGTCTCTCTGTGAGGAAAGTTTACCTAAGGTGTTAACAACGTAATAGCCTGGTCTTTAGGTTTGTTTGATATCCGCTGACATTCATGTCGCACTCCTCACCTGAGCCAGAAATGCTGCAATTTCATCGGGAAATTTATTTTTCCTCCTCAGTTTCGCCTCGCCACACCCTTCTTAGGAATTGTAATCCAAGACATTAGCTGATCTAAGCCACATTGTTCCTTCATTTGGAGCTGTGAACAGAAATTCTAGAGTGTGTGTGAACTTTTGTTTTTAATGCGTGGTTCTCGGGAACTCAGCCGTGGTGGATGCGGAGGTCGCAAAGCTGTTTCCATTCATCCCAGTAAATTATACTTTCCTTAGGCAGACTTTAAAGGTTACAGTTAAGACAGAATGGATGTGTGCTCAAATAGCCATCTTGGTCTTTGCTGCCTTCTAGACAGTTTAGTTTTATCTGTCAGCACTGCATACTCATCATAGAATGTATTAGTTTTGAGCCATCAAAAACGTGCCATTTCTATATATAGATTCTTTATGATCTGGCTGGTTAGATAGTGTCCATAACCTTGAATATGTTACTGAACCATCAGCTTAACACAAGTGGACACAGTTCATGTTTTTTCACTCGTGGATTATTTTACATAGTAAGCTCAAGAATTTGTATCAGCAGTATTGCCATTCAAAACAGACACACACACACATATATTATAGCACCTCATATTTTTAATAATGTGTCAAAAGTACACATTAACATTATGCTCACGAATTAATATTCATTTGATGGCTTTATAAGTAGCCTAAAAATGAGAAAAAATACAATTAGTCGAATTTTGCTCTCACTGTTACACTTACTTGTTCCCCAAAATAAGCCCTTTAAGCAATTGCATATTATGTAAAGTAAAATTATGTGGATAACTTTAGAAACCTTGACATAACTTTAGTACTTCCCGGAAGTGTTCAAATGTTTTAACTGGCACAGATGGGGTTGTTGCTATATTTCTGCTTAACAACAACAACCAAAGAGGTAAGAGCTGGCCATTTTGCCAACTAGACCATCAACCAAAATAAGAACAATGTCTTGTTATATTTTCTATGTAACCATCACCCTTGCTAAGAATTCCCATAGAAATATAAGAAGGGAATTGTGTCTAAGGCTAAAAGCAAGAAACAGCTACTAACAATTAGGAAAGACAAGAAGAGATCTTGCCCTGTATCGCCTCATAATTACCCGATATAATCCGGCTTAGAAAAACTAACACCAGCTTGTGCAAAAAGTATTATTTGGGTGAAAGGTGATTTCCCATGACAACTGATACCTAAACCTCCACCTCCCGTTTGTTCAAAAGTCAACTTCTAAATTTAATTATCTTCTCAGTAAACATTGAGCTCTTCTGCTTGGTCCAAATCATCTTCCCATCTGTTGTGCAAATAGAAAGAAAATAACTCTCTGCTTGGGAATCTTTCTCTGGTGCTGAGTTCTTTCATCCTTGCATGACAGTGAACAAGAAAAATAATATAACCCAGATAACGTGTAAGAGAACCAAATACCTTCCCAGAGCCAGAGATGTGGGTTGTTATCAGCTTCTCAATCCTCCTCTGAGTCATTTTGTAACAGAAGCAGTAATTCTGCATTCCATTTCCTCTTAAGAGCAAGCTGGCCAATCGAATGACAGCGGCTTTATATTCTCTACTGTATACGATGTAGGCTTTGTTGGGTGTGATTTGCGGACAGTAAGCTGTTCAGGTCATCTGTAGTTTCAGTTTCACCTGACTTGGTTTTCACATGCAACTTTGGCATTCTGGTTGTGAGCCTGCCCTTTACTCGCTGAGCCATCCCTCCAATCTGTCACGCACAAGTCTAAGCACCACCCTCTTGATCTTACTGACCAAAAGAAATATGTGATATGTATTTGCCACCACCTTGTTAAAGTTGAAGGTAATAATTTTAATGAAAATGTGAAAATGCTTAAATATAGATAAATTATAAGCTATCAATAAGCCCTTAAGTATTCCAAAAGCCTTTAAAATAAATGAGCATTTTCTTTAAAGTAATGCTGGATTTCTGTGTGGCAAAATGTTACAGTATCATAGGTTATATTTCACTTATCATTTCCTTAGGTAAAGAAAGAACAAAATACTTTGGAGTCCCAGTGATACCATATGCAGAATGACTTGCGAGTAGTCTTAATAGCACTATCTAATTGGAAACTTGTAATAAATTACTGTCTAGATAAATAATTTGTTCACTTAGAGTCACTGCAATCTAAAGCAAATAATTTTAAGTTCACTTATAAAAAGGATAGTCAGTTTTAAAGTGATTTTTTTCTCTGCCTAGTCTCCAATGTCTAGGGACTCCTCAAAGTCCAAGAAACTCTTCAGAAAACTAAACATGGTGGCACACACTTTGAATTCTAGCAATCTGGAGTCCGGAGAAGGTAGATCTGTGAGTTCAAGGCCAGCCTAGTTTACTGAAGGAGTTCTAGGCCAGTCAGGATTTCATAGTGAGACCCTGTCTCAAAAAAAAAAAAAAAAAAAACCAACCAACCAATCAAACACAAAACTTCAGGAAGGCAAAGTTCTTGGGTTAGAGAATATCTAGTTTGTCCAAAGTTCTTGTGAAAACTGAAAAGAATGGCATGTAAGTGATAATATGCCCAAAGCATTTATACCAGAAGACTGACAGACAATTCTACATTTCTACATATTTCTACATATGGCAGTATAGTAGCAGAGGGGAATGAGTGATATACACATATTTAGCTTGTTTTTCTAATCTCTCTTTGCTTTGTGACTATTTTGAAGTTAAAGATTATGAGAATCTAATAATCAAAAAAATGATTTTATTGTGGAAGTGTATCTCATCTCTTGAACTGTTTGGCTTTGTAAATAAAACAGTTAACTCTAAGCAATTTAGTGCTTATATGTTATCTAGAAGAGAGACTCTGAGGTGCTTTCTGTCTCAATGACAGAAGACATACATTTTGCAAACTTTATTTAATTGAAAGGTATGCCTTAGCTTAATAACCTTAGAATTAAACAGGCTTGGATTTGAACCTTCACCCCGGCTACCCTAACTATTAAGCCCATCAACCTTGGCCTTTCTGAATGTAAAACAGGGGCGACATTCTTTTCTCTAGGGTATGTTGACAGAACTGAAAGAGATCATTAGAAAGAGTTAAGGCAGACTGCCTGACAAGCGCAAAATAACATTCAGCTGGTGTAAATTTTTCTTGTCCTCCATTCCCGTCTCTGCTCTTTTCTTTTTACATCCTGATAATGATGCTTCCATTATTAAACTGGGACTGAGGGTTCATATACTTTCAGGAGCAAAACACCAAGAACAATGGAATCGAGAACTCAGATGGTTCAACCCGGGGCTTCTGAACTTGCTTACTCTTCAAAATTAGTTTTGTTGAAGGCCTGCTGTCAGACTTTATGATACCTTATACCAGTTTGAAACATCTTCCATACCGGAATTCTAAAAACTAAAAAGTAAACGTATGATATGGCTAGGTAGATAAAGTAACGACAGGGCCACTGTGACCCCAGGTTTGGTGTTCCCAGAAACGACATAAAAAAGTGTTGAGTTGGCTGCTGGGAATGGCTGCACACAGTGGGCAGAGTCAGGATAACTCCAGAGAGCAAGCTAGCTAAACTCTCTGACATTGATTAACTCCAGGGTCAGCAAGATCATGTCTCAGGACGGGCAGAGTAGAGAGCCATGGTAACATCATCTGAGGTCAACTCCAGGCCGTCACACACTTCAACAAAAGTGTACCCACATACAGGCAAACCACAGGCCAATGTACGTGTAAAAATTAAATTAAAAAAAGGAAGAAAAAATTCAAGGAAAATATTATTTCTTATAATAACATCTCATTCATCAGAACCCATTGGAAAACAGTTCATGAAACTTTTAAGTATCCCTAAAACAAATTAAAAATAAGGTTATTTAAACCATAAAGGGTTACCCATATAAAAGCAAACTATGTGATAAACAAAGGTTTTGCTCTTCCATTTTTTAAAAATTTCATCAATGAGGAAAATAGTAAAAATTTCATGTTCAGCTGAATTCTCTGAATCAGACTTTATTCTGGTTTTCCAACTTCTCACTGACCCGTTGCTAGGACCCTCCTTTCAGGACTCGGGTGAAATACAGACAGCTCCGCATATCGATGGAAAAAGCATTCGTTATAACATGAAAATTACATTGTTCCTGTTTTGCTTTTCTTGCTCTGCCTCAGTTAAATAATACATGCTTGGTTTCCTTTTGTGACAATGCAGACGGGGAGCTATACTCTGGAACCGCCGCCGACTTCATGGGCCGGGACTTCGCTATCTTCCGGACGCTGGGGCACCACCACCCGATCAGGACGGAGCAGCATGACTCCCGCTGGCTCAACGGTAGGTTGGATGTGCAAGGACACAGGCGCGGGAACAGAACCTATTGGTCACTGGAAAGATGTCCTTTTGCAGGACATACAGCTACTCTAGATTCAGGAGGCCGTTAGGATAACGGCGATGACCTCACAACCGTGGGTGTGAGAAAATTGGGAAAACAGAAGAGAAGATTAAAAACGGAGGAAATATTTGCTCTGTGCCAAATGTGAAGGTTCTCAGGAGTCAGCGATGGAAAGAAAGGGTCTGGGCTGAAAGCGCGGAAGGGAGGCAATGGAAAAGATACTGTCTTCTGGGGCCACGACAACAAAGCTCAGGGCAGTAGCTCTTTTCCTTCATATCTTTCTCTGCTCATTGCTTTGAGAGCATCATTCCAAGCCTTGACGTTAAAACTTTTTTCCCTGCTAAGTGCATTATATTTCAGAGCTTTCACGTGACTCTTAATTCTCTCATACAAACAAGTAAACAAAAAACAACCACTACTTCATTTTATAGACAAGGAAATGAAGACCTACCTACATACACCGAATCCTGTATAGTTTTGTATAAGGAGATCTCAGTTTTCCCCAAGTCAAGCACTGGTCTAACTGCTTGAGAAGTAGACGCCTTTTGTAATTTGTTCTCACTTCTTAGTGTTTAAATCACGTTAGCATTACATAAAATGTGCAGAATGCACAAGCTTAAATAAGCAAAAAGATTGTCATTTAGATTATAAATTCATCCTTATATGTCTGCCTATCAAGTTTGATGATTATTTTCTTTCTTATTGACTTACACACAATAATCGAGTATTTGTTTATAATGATCTTTATGATATTATGAGAGTAGCTTTTATGATGTAATTTAAAGTTTGTATTTCTGCTTTCTCAGTCACATGAACTAACGTTGCCTGTTCTTAATGTCCCCTATTTGGAGTTGTGCATTGTTCCGCACTCTTCCTTAAGGAGTGTAAGTTTATGGTGGACTTCCTGCAGGATGCCAGACTGTCTTACTCTGAACGTCTGCTCCACCTTCGCTGGGAAGAACTAGCAAAGCCCCTGCATGGCCTCTATATCTATTTGTCTGTTCAAAAAAAATTGATACCTGCCTCTGGCTCTCAGTGAAACTTCAGGGGAGTGTAGGATCTTTATAAGAATTTTGTTTTATCAGCACCTTGCTTTAGAGCGATCACTCAGAGCATAAGACAGGCCTCTCATCACCCAAGTCTGCATCTCTTTCCTTCTGTGGCAAGGCTTCTATTGGACTAGTCTCTCTCGTGGCTAGGAACAAAGGCACAGAACCTGTCTCACGTAGTCTTCCTGCCATTATTTCTTAATTTAATTGCTACTTTTTGTTGGTTATTTTATTGCTAGTATCTTTTAGTGTTTTCTTTGGCATTTATTGTAGTGTGTGTGTGTGTGTGTGTGTGTGTGTGTGTGTGTGTGTGTATGTGGGGCGGTACATATATGTGTGAGTGTGCACATGCCCAGCGTGTGCTCTGTGGAGTCAGGAAACTACTGAAAGATTTTCCTCTTCCACCCTGTGAGAGATGAGAACCAAACCCAAGCCATCGCACTTAGCAGCAACCTCAGAAAGCCCCTTTACCCTGAGTCATCTATCCAGCACTCATATTTCCTTTAGCAAAGATGTCTTCCCATGACTTGAAACTTGGATCCATTGTCCCATGCAAGCTGTTTCTTTCATGTATGCTTAAGTTCATTGTCTGTCTGGGACTCTTTACCTATAAAATTTTCACCACTGTTTACTGATTTCAACTTAACTTTACTCCAAAGTCTACTCCATGACCCTCTTCAAAAGGCACTCCTGATTTTCCCTGCTTCTCACCCAGCTCTGCTGAACTAGCCCTGCAGAATTTCCTATGTGTTCTCAAAGCAATCACTTCTCTGTGTCCCTTACTTCTTGCTCTCACTAACTTCTTTAAATTAGGCTTCAGTTGCTGATTGTTGTTTTACATACAGAAAATTATGAAGATCATTCGTGACCGAGTATGAATTCATAGTAATAAATGGGTATCAGGCATACAATTTTTTCACCCTGTTAGCAGCACAGGAAATATTGTTATGTCTACATACTCCAAGGAGTTGGAAGTCTCAGTGAGGAACCGAGGAGATGAGGAGGCCTTGATGAAAAGGGCATGTTTAAAACTCAAGAGAGAGCCGGGAAGAGAACTGTAAATTATCCACCACCAGTTATTAAAGCTAGCGTGGTTTGTGGGGGGTGCAAAGTTAGTAGGGAAACCCCTGTTTAACATCACTATCTAGTCTGTTCCCCAATGGAAATATTTGTGTGGGAGAGAAAATGTTTGTTTTTTATTCAGGAACAAAGCGCCTTTGATCTACCAAGAACTCTAGCACTCGTACAGGCTCTCGCTGTCCATGAGAAAGAAAATCAGATTAGAAGATGGACAAAGGAGAGGATAGTATCCGTTTCATTTCCATGGCCTTAAGGAAAAAATCATCAAGCCAAAGCCGCTTTCATGCTGCACACACACACATGTTGACAGCTGGCGCTGAAGAATTCTCACTGTGGGAAAGCAGATCATTGTCCGCAACGCTGTTCTTCAGCCCTGAAAATGTGTGGCTCATTTGAGAATTCAGCTATCAGTCTCTCAGCACTAAATGTGAGAACTGATTTTTTCCCGAATTAACAGAAAGGTTCCATCTGACAGGGTGCAGAAACCAGATTGCTCAGAGTGTGGAATTACTGGTGTCTTCCATACAGGGCCAGAGGACTGCGAAACCCAGGCTTTGAGAAATCAGATACTATTTTAGGAAAAAATGGAAACAAAATGTTGACATATTCCTGCAAAAAAAAAAAAATGAGTGTGTTTTGGGGCATCAGCATAGACCACAGAATCAACATTATTGCCAGATATAATGTACTGCCTGGTATGACATTTGTCTGGGGTCTTCAGGGCTGTTGAATTAATTTGGGTTCATGCCTTCATGCATTTCCCCAATTAATCCATTTCTTTTGGATGAGCAAATGAATCACTTTTATGTGGTTTTTAATGTTTGCTCACGCTGAAGAAAAACACAAATGCAGTTCTGTAGTATTCTATCTTGAATTACCATGACTTTGTAAGTATAGCCTCCCTACTTTAATGCTTCTTTTAAAAACCAACACACCTTTTTAACAGTGCCAATAAAGTTTTTAGTCCAGTTTGAACAAGAAAGAACTGCAAGAAATCATAAAAAAAATCACAATATTTGAAATCTATGTTTGTTTTTACAAATTAGTTTATGATAGCTGTCTTCATGCTTTACGACAAACCCTAATTTAAGTTTCCTGGTGATTAAAATAACTTCTCATGTCAGGTACATGCAACATGAGTTTAACATGTTCTAAAAGTCACGCTTTCCCCTTGTGCTTCATAAACTCCCTCAATAGGGTACAGTTTTAAACTTCAATTCCAATTTCAGCTTCTAGTAATTTGGAAATCAAGTTAACCTTTTCTGTGTATATTTGTGGTTAGAAAACAAATTTCTGCTGCTCTTAGGGTAATCCTTCTTTAGCATTTGGTGGGCTATCTAGTTACTGTACCCTTCAGCCATTCATTCAGATAGATGGATGACTAGCTCAAGTTTATTATTATTTTTATTTGATGAAGACTGCTTTACACATTGTTCATGTCCTTGACTAATAGTGGAATGCTGTGTAATTTCAACAAAAATCCACCAGCTTCAAAATGACATTTCTCTTAGACTCTGACCTTTATCTGTGATGGAAAGATAATACGGACGACTTCCTATAATTACTATTTAAAACAAGTCAGATAGCATACATAAAAAGCACGGTGATTCTGAACCTTCCCAGGTGTTTACACGTTAGCCTGCTCTGTCCTGTAGCGTGCTGCTTTGGCCAGGGAATGCCCGAGAATGTGTAGGGTTCCCTCTGTCAATGGTTACATTGGAGTGAGGGTTAAAGGGCAACCTGGTCCTGGCTTCGGTACAATGAAACCACAGGGATCCTTGAGAGATCCAAGGCCTGGTGAACACAAACAGACCTAATTACATGCCCAGAGTGTGGGGCTTTCCCATTCATTGCAGGAAGACCTGTTTTCTTTTAGTGGGATTTCCTAAAAGGATCGTGCCTGTGGATAAACTGCCCGCTTGTTTTCCTTCTCCCTTTTTTCTTTCTCTGTAATTGAAATGGTATGCAAGTCATCATTGACTTCCTCTCAGAGCCATTCCAGGATGGCCTGCCCTCATTGGAATCAGCACAACTTCCTCTGTGGTCATGTTCTAGGATATTGCACATTCTCGAAAGATTCGAGTTTCTCCACAGGATGCATTCTTAGAAAAATAAAACCAAGAAACATGACTTCAAATAAACGACAAGAGCACAGATTAATATTGGAACCAGAGACCCAGTCTTGAATCGCCTGTGAAACACTTTTAATAAACAGTTTTAATTCTAACATGGTTAAAGACATAAACCATGTCAGAGGTCCAATTGCATTGTTCTTTAATAAGTAAAGAAGTGAAGAACCGATTTTATATAATCTCAGAATTTTTCATGATTTCATTTTGTGTTATTTCAGTGGCCTGAGTAAACGAATATATTTCTCTGACCCTTGGAAAGCCTCTGCATTAGGACCGCTTCCAGAAGCTGAGCATTCATGTAGTTAAAACAAACAAACAAAAACAAACAGAATCAAAAACAAACAAACAAAACAAAACAGACAACCAATTTGAGGACACTTCCCTGAGGAATATTACCTTAATTCTTTGCCTAGCTGTGGGAGCTTCCTCTTTTATGGCTGCATGCCTGTTGGTGTAGGGCTTGTGGAGCTATTGTTTAGGCACTCATGTTGTTGAGACTTTATGGATGTAGCTTCCCTGACATGTTTAGGAGATGCAATCTCATAGAGACATCCTGTTCCTCGGACTCAGTTTGGGGTATGAGCTAGTCCTAAATGCATACAAACAAATAACATTGTTATTACTCCAACTGAGCGGATAGTATTTTTATATTTAGAAATACCCACATACATTGATATATTT